TTTTACAAACAAAATGACATTTTTTGAATTTAATTCAATTATTTATTCACCAAAACAATTATAATTTACAATTTATTATAATTAGTTTAAAAACAAAACAAAAATACATTTAATTTTAGCTACAATTAGGCAGAAGTTTTCACTTCAATTCATTACTCGAGGAATAAATTATATTTTAAATAAAAGTTTTGCTCTAATAATGAAATTAATGGCATTTTAGACAATAGGATGAATGGATCTAATATTATAGGGGTTAAGAACTTGTTGGACCAGATGTTGGTCCGGCTGTTGGTCGAGCAGTTGGTCCAGCAGTTGGTCTAGCGGTTGGTCCAGCGGTTGGTTCAGCAGTTGGTCTAACAGTGGGTTTAGCCGTAGGTCCAGTAGTAGGTCCAGCAGTGGGTCCAGTAGTAGGTCCAGCAGTGGGTCCGGTAACTGGTGAAGGTGTGCTGGTGCAGGGTTGTGGAGTAGTGGTAGGGGTGGTGGTGGTGGGGACCCTCGTGGGTGCAACGGTGGCATCGGTAGGCCAAGTGAGCCCGTGATCGTTATAAACACACGTCTGGTTAAGTTCGCTGAAGACTAGATCCTCGGGACATGTGATGGCGTAACCGATGCCGTCCTGACAGTCGATGAATTTGTGCGGATTTCCCGGAAATGCGAACAAACCGTTAGGTTTGGGACACTTGACGACCGGGACGTCGGGGTCTCTGTCGCAGGTCTGCTCCTTCTCGTCGAAGACCAGATTCCCGGGACAGTAGTAACCGGCGATCCATTTGCCTCGTGAGCACCGGTGGAAGATATGGGGGTTCAACGGGTCTCTGAAGTAGCCGTCGGCCGGATGTCCTTTACAGCTGACGGGTTGGACAGGGGGTCGAGTCGTGCCAAACACCTCCTCATCGTATTCACTCTCATCCGAGTCCTCCTCCACAGGCATTCCCCACGCTATCAATGGTTGAGACAATTAATTAATTATACCGTTTTAGACGCTATAAGTATAGCAACACTTACCGAGTGTTATTAATAAAGCGATTATCAGATATTTAAACATTTTTTGTCAGTTATTTAATAATTATTTTATATTCAATTATTTTAATAATTGTTAATTGTATGACTTCTCGAAGACAAGTGATGATTGAGTGAGAGTT